TTTGGGGGGGAATAATACAAATAATTATGTTGTAAGTATTTTTAAAAAAAAATTGTATTACTCCACTTGCAAGGTTGGATGAACCTCTATCAAACACTTCTTTATCACAATTTCTTTCTTGTTAATTTACAAATGTATTAAGAGTTATTTCCGAGACTAATACACCCTTCCACTGGCTTTTAACCAACATAGGCAACATTCAGACTGCAAGGAATCTGGGTGTGATCCTAGATAACAACCTGTCCTTCACTGCAAACATCGCTGCTACAACCCGCTGCTGCAGATACACGCTTTACAACATCAGGAAGATACGTCCCCAGCTGACCCAGAAAGCGATGCAGGTTCTGGTCCAGGCTCTCGTCATCTCACGCCTAGACTACTGCAACTCCCTCCTGGCTGGTCTACCTGCATGTGCCATCCGACCTCGGCAGCTCGGCAGAATGCAGCGGCTCGTCTGGTCTTCAACCTTCCTAAATTCTCCCACACCACGCCGCTCCTCCGCTCCCTCCACTGGCTTCCGGTAACTGCTAGAATCCACTTCAAGACAATGGTACTTGCGTACCATGCTGCGAATGGATCTGGCCCTTCCTACATCCAGGACATGGTTAAACCGTACACCCCAGCACGTGCACTCCGCTCTGCATCAACCAAACGGCTCGCTGCACCCTCGCTGCGAAGGGGACCCAAGTTCCCATCAGCAAAAACACGTGGGTTTGCTATCCTGGCTCCAAAATGGTGGAATGAGCTCCCCATTGACATCAGGACAGCAGATAGCTTGCACATCTTCCGGCGCAGACTGAAAACTCATCTCTTTCGACTCCACTTCGAGCAATAGAACTATTAACAAAGCACTTATATACTAATAAAGGACTGGCTTACCTAAAGCCAGTTGAGTAGCACTTGAAATGTTTTTGCTCTATGAAACCTGATGTACTTATAAGATTCTGTTTTCTTCAAGTTTGTATTTTGTTGGTCGAACGCACTTATTGTAAGTCGCTTTGGATAAAAGCGTCAGCTAAATGCAATGTAATGTAATAGGCCCACAGACACTGTAATATCCTTCTCTATATGAACATAGAGCCTTGATTATGATTATCACAGGAATGATGTGTCTTGTATGCTGAGTTGATCTTATCCGCTTCACAAATGTTGTCTTAGATGATTGCTTTGCCTTTGATTTAACAGGCATTGATTATTCTGCTTGAATATTTCTGGCTGTGAAAGACTTGAGCTGTGTTTATAAGTGTTTAAATCTGCAATATAACTTCCAGTCGTCTCGTTAATAAATGTCAGACTTGCAGTGTGGTATAAAAGGTGAAATAAATAAATAACATGCAAAGTGTTAAATGTGTGCAGAGGGCGACACCATCTGGTCACAACTTTAATTATTTTAGTATGTTTATGTGCAAATAAAGAACTCTCACTGGTTCATAACCCTTTTCCGTAAGTGAGTCTCTTTTCTGACTTTTTTTAAATGGGTATTTCACTTTATGTTAAATACATAACAATAACAGTGCAGAACATCTCATGCACTTCACTATGAATCCAGAACAATACACCTGCAGGAGTATGGATAAAGCGAGATGTTTTGAGCAGATTTTGAGCAGATTTGGGCAGAATCCAGCTGAGTGGATCGAGAAGAGCAGAAGAGAAGAGCTTGAATATTAAAAGATTAAAAAAACAAATACAAAATACAAACTCTTTTTGCTCCTTCCTGTCTTTCTAGTGGACTTTCTTGGCTTCATGCTGGCTATTTTCTAGCTCTATTCAGGTTTTTGGAGTTTTTTTCTAGCTCTATCGCTGATAATTTTCAGAACCTGAAGGCTCTATACCAGTGCTTCTCAAAGTGTGGTCCACGGACCACCGGTGGTCCGTGAGCGCCCCCAAGTGGTCCGTGAGTATATTGGTAAAATGTCACATTTTAAATGTATTAATTCATTTCAGTTTTCCGCACTCTCGCGGGAATATCTCCGCAATGGAGCGAGGTTAAGTTTCACTTTCGATTGCATGATATAGCCCAGCGCAACACCTTCATCACACATGTTGCTACTTGTTTGTACCATTTTCAGGTGATTTATAATCTGTTCTAGAAAAACGATGTGTTTTTTTTATATTTGTGGAGTTAGGTGGTCCGCGTGTGTTTTTTTATCGGTTAAGTGGTCCTTGGTATGAAAAAGTTTGAGAAACACTGCTCTATACAGACTATCTTCTGGTTCTTTTCTGGATCCATCCATTATCTCTTGTCTCTGTCCAGTGAATTACACTCTTGTTACTGGAGCAGCAAAAGCATACAACAGATACTTTCAGCATTATCGGAGCACGAAGTGGAAGCTTGGATGAAACACAACAGACTTCAAAACAATGAACACCCGCAATTTAGAAGAAATAAAGTTGGGTTTTACGCGTTCTAATATTGAAATCCAAACCCATGATGTAAAGACAGTAATTAAGAATAATTAAGTCATTGAATGCTCATTTCAGTAGATTTAATCAAACAAAACATAAACATATTGGACATGGCCTCAAGACTGTAACCTCTTCACATTCTGTTGAAATAGTAAATTACTAGCCATATCTTACACATTGCTGTTTTGAATCATTAATATGTGGATGACAGTTGAACTGGATGATGTAACATTTATGCCACCTGCTGGAAAGAAGACGTATCGCTCTGTTGGCGTCGTTTGGAGTGAAGCTCTCATTTCATAAACAATCTTTGAGTACAGACACCGTCCTGCAGAGAGCACACAACCCAACAGCACGTTTTTGGTCTAGCATCACTTTACAAAACGTTTGCATTAAGACACTAAGACTAGCTGGTCCATTGTAAAGGTCAGTCCACCTTAAATGAGCAGTGGGTGATCAGCAGGTGAAAGGCAGGACACAGAAACTTGGTCCTGAGGAGAAGTAACGATTATTAAACAAGAAAGTCGTCGAGTCAAGGGGTCAAAGAAATGAACATTTGTGATTATTAGCGAATCGGTTGCAGGTGGGTGAAATCAGGCTTAGGGAGTAACGTATTACATGTAACAGCATTAGGTCATCAGGATACAAAATAGAAAAATGTGTTCCCTTACAGTTGCAGAAGCAAAAACAGTCAGATAACAGGTACATTTATGTAAAACAGGGCTCATTAAAAGGTAAGGTAGGTAAGAATGGAGAAACCAGCTCGAGTGCGCTAGAATTTGAAAGTATGCAGCCGAGAAAAATCTGCCCCTTCCTTCAGACTTCCTTACAGAGCCCCTCCTCCAACATACACGAACGCGCACATGACCAATGAGGGCCTGAGATAAGTTTGTGCACGAGATGGAAGGCTGGTAGGCAGGTAGGCCATCCAGTTACTTTAGCCAGGCCGGCTAAAATAACTGGTCGTGCTTTTAACAGCGCCACATATTAAAAAAATGTTATGCGTTTATTGTCAAAGTATGTAATGTATTCATTGCTATCGGGCTGTTAAGAGCATTCCATGGAATATAGCAAAAAGGGTTTCTGAAGTGAATGACCTACTCCACCTTTAACAGGAGGGCAATGATACAAAACATTTAGAAATAAAGAACAATACATCAAATCATCCTATATCTCTCAATGGAAACTTGGAGCCCTCAATCCACAATAAAATGGTTCATCAACAGTCAGTGGTTAACGTATATATCAGAATATCAGTATGACAAAAACATTAAACATATTGTCCACTTATGTTGATAAAGATGGAGTTCATTTAAGTCTTATATGAATGTTGTGCAAAAATGTTAATCCAGTCAGGCAGATTTTTCTAATTTATGAACTGTTATATGACTAATTCATTGTCCTCTCTATCAGCTTCTATAATTTCCCCTCCTCGACTCCCGGAAATGGATTTCAGCGCGCCATGTTGAAGGTACTGTGTGTGTGTGTGTGTGTGTGTGTGTGTGTGTCCACATCTGTAGCCTGTTATTGTCTCATTATACCGCACTGTGAATTAATTCAAAGCAAATATATAAGTCGTCATGAACACAGATCTGTCCATCAGACAAAGTGCTGTGCCTCCTGTCATCATTAACGGATGTCTCTTTAAAATGACAGCTCAGAGGAGAGGATTTCTCATTTCTCTAACCGCCTGCTGCTTCCCCTCCTCTCTCCTAGGTTCCCCTCCTCGACTCCTCCGCTTAAATCTCCTGTGGGCGGGACTAAGACACGAGGATAGGAGTCGAGGAGGGGAATAGACCTATCGCTAAACCACGCCCCAAATATAATTTGTCCAATCATATCACAGCAAAAATCCCTCCTGGCAGAAAACTCGGATATCACCAGAAAAGCCGTTTGTGGGGCGCATCAAACCAAAACCAGACGTCTGTGATCGAAACCACTGTGAAAAGTTCAGTTTCTATGTTTATTATCTAGCTAATATCTGATGGTGAAACGCTGTACGTGGGGTACCTGTAATTCGGACACCAGGTACCCTGAAAGACTGGATGGAGGAGTATATTTCGTACCTTTTCCAAAGCCCAAAAGAAAACTCGACAAATGCAAGCGGTGGATTATGCTGTGTCGTCGACCACATACACAACTGAATGTGAAGACAATTACCAAGGACACTTATGTTTGCTCAAAGGTAAGGTCAATTCATAAAGACATAATATTTGACGGCATGTATTAGAAACGTAGACCAAACTATTAGTTTGCTAACGATTGACTTTGACTGCCAACTAGCTAGCGTATATCCAGCCCAGCTAGCTAACGTTAGCTGCCAACTTGTTAGCCCAGCTAACTAGCTACAGTGTTATCAACATCAACGTTTGCTGTCTGACTTTTCGTCCTCGCTAGTTAGCTGGTGTTTTTAGCTAACTTTTTCTAACTGTCTTTTCACCTCAAAGCACTTCAGAGATGGGAAGCCAACTCTGGAATATCCAGATCCCATCCGGCTCTCGTGTGTGCTGCTCCGAAAAGACACAGACCCTCACCCAAAAAAAGGTAACGTTAGTCAGCCAGGTGCATAACAGTGAAAATGATGACCAACAAGGACAGTTATAGATTTAATGTAGTGACCACCACACCACTGCTAACATTCAACATCATATGATCATTTCAATGGTTACACAACAGTCACCACTACACACGACAGGCAACAAGATTAGATATTTTATATAAAGAAATACATGGCTACCTTTTTACTCTTGCTTTTAACTGTTAACTTTCATCTGCTGTTGCTTTTATTAGCTCTTGCTTCTATTTTAATGTTATTTTAACTTGGACTCCCCCCGCGGCCATTGTCAACAGTCATTCAGGGTCGGCTTTGTTTGTCCGAGTTTTCAAAGGGGCGTGGCTTAACGATAGGTCTATTAGAGAAATGAGAAACCTTCCATGTGTTCAGCTGAGCTGCTGATTGGAGGCTCTGCCTCTCAGTTATCCTCAGTTTGAATTTCATTAAGCTGTGAGGACTGACAACAAACACGCTTGTGTCTTTTTAAATTACAATGCCATTTAAATCTTTTGTCACAAACGTTGCAGCTGAATATTTCCTCTCCTGTGTGGATTCTCATGTGTTCCTTCAAATTTCCACTCCGTGAAAAAGCTTTCTTACAGACTGAGCATCTGTATGGTTTCTCTCCTGTGTGGATTCTCATGTGTTCCTTAAATTGTCCACTCCGTGAAAAAGCTTTCATACAGACAGAGCATCTATATGGTTTCTCTCCTGTGTGGATTCTCATGTGTTCCTTAAATTGTCCACTCCGTGAAAAATCTTTCGTACAGACAGAGCATCTGTATGGTTTCTCTCCTGTGTGGATTCTCATGTGTTCCTTAAATTGTCCACTCCGTAAAAAAGTTTTCGTACAGACAGAGCATCTGTATCGTTTCTCTTCTGTGTGGATTCTCATGTGTCTCTTTAAATGTCCACTCCATGAAAAAGCTTTCTGACAGACTGAGCAGCTGTGTGCTTTCTCTCCTGTGTGGACTCTCATGTGTCTCTTTAAATCTATATTCTTTGAAAAAGATTTCTTACGAACTGAGCAACTAAAGGGTTTCTCTCTTGTGTGTGTGCTCATGTGTCTCTTTAAATGTCCACTCCGTGAAAAAGCTTTGTCACAAACTGAGCAGCTGTGTGCTTTCTCTCCTGTGTGGACTCTCATGTGTCTCTTTAAATGTCCACTCTGTGAAAAAGCTTTCTTACAGACTGAGCAGCTGTGTGCTTTCTCTCCTGTGTGGACTCTCATGTGTCTCTTTAAATGTACACTATGTGAAAAAGCTTTCTTACAGACTGAGCAGCTGAATGGTTTATTTTCAGCACTAAACCTTGGATCACTGACAGATTCATGTCTATTTTTCAGTGAGTTTGAGCCTGATGCAGGTTCTCTGGTCTCCTTCCAATCAGCACTGTCTTCAGTGTCAGGTTCAGAAGAGTCTCCAGTGTCGTCCTCAGTCTTTGGTTGTAAACTGCTCTCTGGATCTGAGTTCCTGGCTGGTTCTGGTCCTCGACAGTCATCTCCATCAGCTTCTTTTTCCATGTGTTCAGTTTGTCTTTGATGAGGCTGTGAGGACTGAGGTTTCTCTTTATCATCTTCACTCTTCACAGGGTCAGGAGTGAAAGTGGACTTGGTGATATCAGCCTCCTCCAGCTCCTGAAGCTGCTCTCCCTCCTGACTGATCCTGAGTTCCTCCTGTTCCAGCTTAATGTGTGGGGGGGGCTCTGGGTCCTCCTGGTCCAGACTGGTGCTCCACTCCTGCTGGTCAGGGAGAAACTCTTCTTTAACCACTACCAGCTGCTGGACGTCTGCAGGAAACAGGAAACACACAGTCAGAAAAAACGGTTAAGTGTTAGCATTTAAAAATGGGAGACATTTTTGCAGTCCTAATTAATGCCTTTGTTTTTATACTTTAATATTATCTTTCTTAGTCCCACCTATTGTGTATTTTTGTTAGTTCAATTCACCTTATGTAGCCCAGCCCCTTTCCACATCCAGTTAAAAATGAAAAAGGGTTTTTTCTTCTGGTTTAGCACTAGCTGCAATGTAAACAATGAATTGTATTTGGGATTGTTCAAAGCTACGCCTATAGAATGGTAATACTACAAATATATTGTAGGGCCATACGTATACAAAACATGTCTGAAGTATTTTGTTTAAAATACCAAACAGATCACCCATTTTAGCCATGCCTCATACCCCTCTATTACAGCCCTGTTCCAAAAAAGCTGATTCTGTGACCTTAGCTTTAAATGGAACAGCTGCTGCTAGCCACGCCCCTTTGCTGAGTCATGCAGCTTTCCCCTGCTAAGAGAGTTTTCTACCGGGAGAAACTCAGCTAAATGCTGCTGTGATTAAATGACATATTATGTTCCAAACCACTTCAAGCATTATTTCTGAAACAGTATGGAGCTCAAACCTTTCTCTCTCGCAGGGTTTACCGCAAGGTTCAAGGTTCTTTATTGTCAACCTAACATAGCTACAGAGTAATTATGTCGTTGAAAATCTTAGGTCACAGGCTTCTCCAACAATGCAACACAATAATACAGATACGCAGACAATATTAAAGCAATATTAAAGTATATTATATTAAAAGTAATACAAAAGAAAAACAGTTCTAAAAAATAAGTGGAATAGTGCAATACGAGTCTATATACAAGTTATTGGAATGATATAGATAATAGATAAATAATTACTAAGTAAGTAGCAGAATGTTGTGAAATTGTTTCAGAAGTTCAGGTGTTTAACAGTCTTATTGCCTGTGGGACGAAACTGTCTCTGAATCTGGTGGTTTTTGTCAGGATGCTGTGGTAATAGGGGTGTTGAAAATAATCGTTTCTACGATGCATTGCGATGCAGACGTGGACGATTCGGTATCGATGCAGTGACAGAAGATAACCGATTATTCACGTGGTAGATTTTCTGGCAGCAGCTGAACAATAAAAAAATGTTTTTTTAAATTAAAACGTCACGGTAGCAACGTAGCATTGCATTGTGGGTTACCGAGCTAGTGCAATAATGGAGGGAGGCGAAAGCAGTGCGCAAATAATAAAAACCGCTCCTAGTGTTCTGAAAGCAGACATCTGGACCCATTATGGGTTTTATCAACTAAAAAGGGAAAAATGAACTGGACAAGTCGCACACTGTGTGTAAAGTGTCACACAAAAATAAAATACCTTGGTGGAAATACCACTAATTTGAGGAACCACCTTAGCCGTTTTCACTGTGAGAAGCTAACGTCTGCCACCAAGAAAACAGCGGACCCAGCCCAGCGAAGAATTGATGAGGTGCGGTCAACTTTTCCGCCCAACTCTGAGAAAGCGAAGACAATCACCCAGTCGGTGGCAGCTTTCACAGCGAAGGACCTACGTCCTTATTCGGTCGTGGAAAACGCCGGTTTTCGCCACCTGTTAAAGACGCTGGAGCCACGGTATAAGCTCCCATCACGTAGCCACTTTACAGAAAATGTCATACCTGCACTCTACAACGGAACCAAAGCCCAGGTAATGGCGTCAATGATCCAAGCTAAAAGAGTTGCCATAACATGTGATGCCTGGACTTCTGTCGCAACGGAGTCTTATTTAACATTAACGGCACATTACATCAGCGAGGACTGGCAGTTTTTGTTGCATGTGCTGCAAACTAGAGCTGTTTACGAGTCTCACACAGGTGCGCATGTTGCGGAGCTACTGTCTCGTGTAGTGGAAGAATGGCAGCTATCAGACAAAGATGTAATGCTGGTGACAGACAACGCGTCTAATATGATCGTTGCAGCTGAATTAGGAAAATTCCCTCATGTGAAATGCTTCGCCCATACACTGAATCTTGCGTCCCAGCGGGCGCTTAAAGTGGCCACCCTCTCCAAGCTACTGGGTCGAGTCCGACGGATTGCAACATTCTTCCACCGCAGCACTACAGCGAACCACTATCTGAAAGAGAAACAGAAATGTCTGGGCCTGAAAAATCATAAGCTGATAACTGATGTTGCCACAAGGTGGAACAGTGCATACGACATGGTCGAGAGGTTCTTGGAACAACAACCTGCAATATGTGCCACCTTGCTGTCTCCAGAGGTGAGAAAAGGAGAGTCAGACCTCTGCACTCTTAACGAAACAGATGTGTCAAATGCAGTGGACGCTGTGAGTGCATTAAAGCCAATGAAGGATGCAACCACTCTGATGTCAGAAGAGAGCAATCCAACTGTGTCTCTCATTGCTCCAATAAATGCACAACTCCTCCAGAACATGACAGGCACCATTGGAGACTAACCGATGATCCACGCAATCAAGAATGCCATCACAACAGATCTCCTGAAGAGGTACAACGGTGAGGCAGAAAAGAAGATCCTTCATACAGCCTCTGCCCTGGATCCCCATTTTAAGGGACTGCCTTTTCTAACAGTGGAGGAGAGATTGGAGATCTACAGAGGAGTGACTGAGGAGGCTGCATCCTTGGAGGTATTTTCACCATGTTTCATGTAAACTTATAAAATAAAAACAAACTTTACAATATTAATAATAGTAGCTACAATGAGTGAAAACATTCTATAGTTAAAGTTAAGTTAAAGCCTTTTATTGTCATTATACACGGAGTATAACGAGATTCAGAGTGCAACTCTGTCCCGGTGTGCAAAAAATACAGACAAATACATAACACTAAAAAACACGGCAATAGGACAGACAACAACATACAATAATACGGGAAATAAATTGTTAAAAATATTGATATAAAAAATAGTAGTGGTGCACGATAATTATCGGTCCGATATTAGGAATTATGACGTCATCCCGATAAAAGTATTAATAGCCCCGATAATATAAAATATATTTTTTGGGTAAAAAAAAGAAAAAATACTGCGGTGTGGGTGGATTGGGATGAGGGGCGCTTGTTTTTCCCTCGGCTCCTCCCGTTTTGCCAGTACTGTGGTATTAGTGGTTTAGGAAGAGGGGAGTTTTTCACAAATCCAGCGCTCCCTAACTCATGCCTGGCTGTGACGTAAATGGTGTGCGGCCGTGAAGCCAGGACAGTAAACAAACATGTCGTCGGTAGTATGGGACTATTTCAAAGTTTCAGAGTTAGATAGTTCGCTTGCTATTTGTATTAACAAATGCAATGCAGAAGTTCCACGAGGAGGGAAAAAGACAACGAGCTATAATACTTCCAACCTGATTAGTCACCTGAAACATCGCCATCGCTACGATGGTGTGTTAAAAGCGTACTAAGACACCTGCGCTGCTAAACTATCGGCGAATCCAAAGCCAGCTGCAAAGGCACCGGGGCTTTTACCTATCGACGAGGCTTTTGAAAAAGGCAAGAAGTTTGCCAGAGACGACCCCAGGGTTAGTTTTGTTCATAGTAGTAATGCTCATGTCATTTGCTCACTACTAGTCTTTTTTTTACCACCAGGTGTGCAAAAACTACAGGTACATTTAATATATATATATATATATATATATATATATATATATATATATATATATATATATATATATATATATATATTATATTATTATCGGTATCGGTCTTGAGAAGCAGGAAGTTATCGGTATCGGTTTCAAAAAACCAATATCGTGCATCCCTAAAAAATTGTATATAAAGTGCATTTAAAAGTGTGGGTATGCGTGAGAATGGTTACAGTTATTGCATTATGTGTAGTGGTTGAGCAGTCTATAAGACTGAAGAATAGAATAGATGTGAGCTGTTGCATTGACTGAGAAAGTGCTAACTGCTATTTTAATGCTATTTTCTATTATTTTGTTCAAACATAGAATGAGAGGACACTCAGGAGGACAGAAGTGATTGACGGCCCTTCTGCTCCCAAAAGAAAGGCCTCATCATCATCACTGCTCGTGAGTTTGCTGGGACGGTCTTTCACTGACACTGAAGGTACAGCAGAACCCAAGACCCCCTATGCCATTGCTGAGGAGGAAATAGAGAGATACTGTAAAGCATCATCCCTCCCTCTGACTGAGGACCCTTTGAACTTTCCCCTCCTCTCACGGGTGTCAAAGCGATACTTGTGTATCCCAGGCACAAGTGTGTCTGCATTGCGAGTTTTCTCCACTGCAGGAGATGTGGTCACTGCAAAAAGAAGCACTCTCAAACCAGAACATGTGGATCAACTAGTGTTCTTGTAGAATAACCTACACATTCCCAAATGCTGAGCAGTGAGTCATGTTTTTGTTGTTTGGCACATTCAGGAAGTGCCCTGTGCTGCTATTTTAAAACATTGTTGTAGATTACAGCACTGCAGAATGTTTTGTTTTCGAGGATTTACCTTTTTTTACACTATAGGTAGGCCAGGCCTATACTATTTATTTCATTTCAATTTAATAAACATGTTGATATGACACACATGGTAGTTCAATGCTACCTGTTGTCACACTCATAATGATGTTTGGCACTTTTAGGATGTGCCATGTTATAGAGCAGAAGACAAATAAATGGTTTGATCGATTTGTAATGTACTTTCTATAGAATAAAAAAAGTTCATATTTATCTGACTGATTGTATTCATTGATGAAAAAGTATCCATACAGTAATATTGAAAATTGAGGATGCAACTCATTGTTATGCATCGTGATGCACCGTAATGCACCGGGATATCAAACCGAATCGAATCGTTGACAGGATAATCGTAATCGAATCGTGAGACCAGTGAAGATGCACAGCCCTATGTGGTAACGCCTGCCAGATGGCAGCAGACTGAACAGTTTGTGGCTGGGGTGATGGGGGTCTTTTATGATGTCTGTGAACACCTCTGCCAGCTGAACTGCACACACCCTGAGAACACGGCCAGGGATGCCAT